CAGGTAGTGGCAGCATCATGCTGAGGGGATGTATTTCAGCAGCAGGAACTGGGAGACTAGTCAGGATCTAGGAAAAGATGAATGCGGCAATGTACATTGACACGTTTAAAGCAATTGTGCCGGAACTGGGTCGAGGCTTCGAAACACTTCGACACCCGTCTCCACAATGACACCTACTGGTCACTTTTGATATCGACACATCTTGGTAGGGGTTTCATTGAAACAATGATTGAACCGCGCTTACAATTCTAAACGTCTTATCAATACATGACCAGCAGGATTTCGGAGAAATGTCAGAGACTGCAGAGATTGCAATAAAAGTGTGTTTAAATAAAATACATCTGTGTGTTGTTTCTGTGACACTTTTCTCAAAAGCAAATTACAATTGCAATTGCTGAGGGCACACCTTTGGAGCAACTAGGAGTTAAGTGTTGTGTTTAGGGACACATGTATCACAATGGGAATTGAACCCAGGTTTTTCACACCAAAGGTATATGTCTTAACCACTACCCCATAGAGACAACTCATTAATGTTCAGAATCTGAATGCTTTATTGATCCAACGGTGAATTCTTTGTTGCAGGTACTCGCAAGGCATAAAAGGAATAGAAATACTAGGTAGTTGAAGTTAGTGAGTAGAGAATATAATAAAGTATACAAATCTAAGATTATAATAATAAATGATAATAAATGTGGATATTTACAGTATGAAACAGTAGCTTATTCAATTCAATTTTATTTATATAGCACCAAATCAGAAACCGTTATCTCACAGCGCTTTTCATAAAGAGCAGGTCTAGACCGTACTCTATGATGTTATTTACAGGAGCCCAACAGTTCCCACCAAGAGCAGCACTAGGCGACAGAGGCAAGGAAGAACTTCCTTTAAGAGGCAGAAACCTCGAGCAGAACCATGGGCGTGGGCGGCCGAGAGAGAGAGAGAGAGAGAGAGAGAGAGAGAGGCAGCCTACACAATATAGTGAGCATGTATAGGAAAGATTTTAAATGTCATCAAGTACGCTGTGATGAATTTAACTCCTTTGAAGTTCTCACTCTTAAAGTTATATATACATATTTTTTATAATTTATTGCCCCCCAAAACCATGAAAGAATTGTTCTTTGTGGCGATTTTAATATTCATGTTGATGATCCCACCAATGTTAATGCAACTGACTTTTTAAATATGGCCACTTCTTTTAAATAAGCCAACACCTGTCTGATTCCAACACCAACAATCTGGTGGATCACTTCAATCATATCTGCTTGTCGTCACTAAATATTACTGCTCCTCTAAAGGTTAGGCCTACGTCTAAAGCTAGTAAGCAACCCTGGATAAATGACAGCATTCGCAGCCTAAAAAGGGAATGCAGGAAAGCAGAGCGCAGATGGAAAAAAATCCAGTCTCCAAGTCCATTACCTCAGTCTGAAGGATTTATTAATTAACTATAATAACATGGTTAGGGATGCGAGAACACACTATTTCTCTGAACTGATTACTACACATAAACACAATCCCAGGTTTCTGTTTAAGACTGTGGATCAGCTGGTAAACCCAACCCCTCCTTGTGCCTCAGCTGGAAGTAATGATGACTGTGAATTGTTTTTATCTTATTTTACCAATAAGGTGGTGTCAATCAGAGCCTCTATTACCCCCGCGGCCTCTTACTCAGAGGTTCCTCACCAGCAACAAGAGAGTTTTAACCAGTTTTATCCCATCGACTTGTTTGAGCTTTTAAAAACAGTGTCACAAATGAGAGTGTCCTCCAGCCCACTTGATGTAATACCTACAAAGTTTTTACTGAAAGTAATAGATTCTGTTGGGCCCCATTTGATCTCTGTTTTCAACAGCTCCCTATCTACTGGTTGTGTCCCTGATTATTTTAAAACGGCTTGCGTGAACCCACTTTTAAAGAAACCTGGTTTAGATCCCTCCCTCCCACATAATTTTAGACCAATTTCAAAACTGCCTTTTATTGCAAAGATTCTAGAAAGAATTGTGTCCAAACAGCTGCTCACTGTACTGGAAAATAACAATTTATTTGAAAAGTTTCAGTCTGGTTTTAGGAAGTACCACAGCACTGAGACTGCCCTGCTTAAAGTCACCAATGACCTTTTAATGTCTGCTGATGAAGGCATGTGCTCAGTCCTGGTACTCCTGGACCTTAGCGCTGCTTTTGACACCATTGATCACAACATCATGTTAGACAGACTGAGGCACTGGGTGGGGATCTCTGGTACTGCCCTAGAATGGTTTTCATCCTACCTGTCAAATGGGAAGTTTTGCGTGTCTGTAAACTATGTCTAAACTATGTCTGTTCGTTCTGTCCAGTTAAATATGGTGTCCCTCAGGGGTCGGTTTTAGGACCCATTTTGTTTTCCTCGTATCTGCTTCCCCTTGGACATATTATCCATAAACATGGTATTTCTTTTCATATTTATGCTGATGACACACAAATGTACTTGCCCGTCGGCTCCTCAGACCCAGGAATGCTGAGTTCACTTAACAACTGCCTTTGTGAAGTTAAAAAATGGATGTCAAATAATTTCCTCCAGCTGAACTCAGACAAAACAGAAATCCTGGTCATCGGGTCCCTGCAGATGGCAGTATTTCAAACAATCAAATACTGCCATCTGCTGGTTCCCTAGTAAATCACATTAAGCCTGTGGCAAAGAACCTTGGTGTTTGGTTTGATAGTAATTTAAATTTCGAGCAGCACACCACAAAGCTTGTTCAATCATGTTTATATCAACTTAGAAATATAGCAAAAATTCGACCTATGTTAACTTTTAAGGACACCAAGACCATTTTACACGCCTTCATCTCATCACGCCTGGATTATTGCAACAGCCTTTTCACTTGTTTAACCCAAAAATCTACTGATCGATTCCAGACTGTCCAGAACTCAGCTGCCAGGCTTTTAACCAGAACAAAGAAATATGACCACATCACTCCTATTTTAGCTTCATTACACTGGCTCCCAGTATGTTTTAGAATTGACTTTAAAATTCTATTGATCACTTTTAAAGCTCTTCATGGCCTCTCGCCTTGTTATATTTCTGACCTTTTAGTCCCATACGCACCAGCACGTACCTTGAGATCCTCGGGCAGAGGTCTGTTGTCTGTTCCAGAGTCTCGACTGAAAACTAAAGGGGACAGAGCGTTTGCTGTCAGGGCCCCGAGGCTCTGGAACAGCCTGCCCGAGGAAATCAGGTCGGCTGAGTCAGTGAACTCTTTTAAGTCCCTTCTTAAAACATACTTTTATAGGAGAGCTTTTCCCGATCTTATTTGACTTTATTTTATCCCTTTTATTTTATTCTATTTTACTTATTTTATATTTATCTTAAATGTATATTTTAGTCTTTTCAATGTTTTCATGCTTTTATCTTGTATTGTTTTTGTATTATTGTCTTTTGGGTATTATTGTCTGTACTGACTAAGTCCTAAACATAGTCTAGTAACTGGTTGCTAATACAGCGAATTAAGTTTAGACGTGTGCCCGTGCAGTGTCTTAAATATCAAATGGGGACTTCAGTAATGTTACTATTATCTAGCAAGTTTATTTTCCTCCTTATATCTTACAGTGGCAATATCTTAACTCGTAATACATGTAACCAAACACCGTCGTGCCTTGCTCACCCCCAGGCTAGACGTTAGCACAGTCAAAAAGTTTGCTTCCCAAATCAGCAACACCTGTGTCTGGGTTTCCTCTATGTTAAATAACCCACCCCTCCATGACTCGAGATCAGCTGAACTGCAAAGCACATACAGCCCCCTAGTGGCACAAGACAAGAATTACATAAAATAATACAGAATGAAAATTGCTCATACATTGTCTATACACTTGTTAAAGCACTTTGTAACTTGTTTTTGAAAAGTGCTCTACAAATAAAGATTATTATTATTATCATACACACAGAGGTGCAGACAGTAAAGGTGATGTTTCTATGGACTGAATGAATAATGGTACAGATATTTATAGTAGTGTTAATGATAATAATCGTAATGTTAATGATTATAATTACAATAATAACAATAGGACTAGTAACAATAGTCGTTGTAGTAGAGGGTGTCGAGCAGGAACACGAGGGCAGCAGGTGACTCGCAACCACAGATCCAGACTCCACAGCTCCAGAGCCAGAAACACCTGCAAGAAGTGATAGGAGGAGAGAGACGAGGGATGAGAAAGCACAAGTGTTGTTGTTGTGTTAGTAACATGCATTAATGGGATGAGGTTGCATACAGAGGGAGAGAAAGAAGAGAAAGAGGTCAGTGCATCATAGGAAATCCCCCGGCAGTCTAGGCCTATAGCAGCATAACTAAGGGATGGTTCAGGACTCACCTGAGCCAGCCCTAACTATAAGCTTTATCAAAGACCTACAGGTAGAGACTTTATCAAAGACCTAGCGGTACGGATTATTAACTGAAGTGTTATTAGCAGGAAAGTGTAGTGTAATAATACTGTGAATACTTACATGTACATGTGTCTATGAAGGTCATCCAGGTCATAGTTATCCAAAGAAAGTTAAAGTTTAAGGGCAACTGGATCTTCAAATCTTTGATTGATCTTCAAATTTTGAAAGATTGCAAACAAACTTCTTTCACATTGTAATTATGGGGTATTGTTTGTAGAATTTGGAGGAAAAAAATGATTTTCATCCATTTTGGAATAAGGCTGTATCATAACAAAATGTGGAAAAAGTGAAGCGCTGTGAATACTTTCCAGATACACTGTACTTTATTGCTTATCAGCTTTACTATCCCTACTTTGGTCATTATTAGACCAGTATTCAGTTTCATTTTATGTTATAAAGGTCTTAATTTCTTCTTTGATGAACGCTGCAGAAACAATCAGTATGTATAGAATCAGAGGCAGCACCTTCTCTACTGACAAAAGTGGCTTCAGGCTGAAGGGGAGGCAGATTCTTGGGGCAGAAGAAGTCAGTACAAAGATGAGACTTGTTCATCAAGACACACTAATTTGTTTCTGTGTTTTCACTCAGGCAATCCTGATGCAGTTTGTCAGTTTAAACTTAAATCTAAGCTGAAGAAGAAGTTCCAGTGTGTGTTTGAGGGGATTGCTAAAGCAGGAAACCCAACCCTTCTGAACCAGATCTACACAGAGCTCTACATCACAGAGGGAGGGACTGCAGAGGTCAATGATGAACATGAGGTCAGACAGATTGAAACAGCATCCAGGAAACCAGACAGACCAGAAACAACCATCAGACAAGAAGACATCTTTAAAGCCTCACCTGGAAGAGATGAACCAATCAGAACAGTGATGACAAAGGGAGTGGCTGGCATTGGGAAAACAGTCTTAACACAGAAGTTCACTCTGGACTGGGCTGAAGACAAAGCCAACCAGGACATACAGTTCACATTTCCATTCACTTTCAGAGAGCTGAATGTGGTGAAAGAGGAAAAGTACAGCTTGGTGGAACTTGTTCATCACTTCTTTACTGAAACCAGAGAAGCAGGAATCTGCAGGTTTGAAGAGTTCCAGGTTGTGTTCATCTTTGATGGTCTGGATGAGTGTCGACCTCCTCTGGACTTCCACAACACTAAGATCCTGACTGATGTTACAGAGTCCACCTCAGTGGATGTGCTGCTGACAAACCTCATCAAGGGGAACCTGCTTCCCTCTGCTCGCGTCTGGATAACCACACGACCTGCAGCAGCCAATCAGATCCCTCCTGAATGTGTTGGCATGATGACAGAAGTCAGAGGGTTCACTGATCCCCAGAAGGAGGAGTACTTCAGGAAGAGGTTTGGTGATGAGAAGCAGGCCAGCAGAATCATCTCCCACATCAAGATGTCACGAAGCCTCCACATCATGTGTCACATCCCAGTCTTCTGCTGGATCACTGCTACCGTTCTGGAGGATCTGTTGAAGACCAGAGAGGGAGGAGAGCTACCCAAGACCCTGACTGAGATGTACATCCACTTCCTGGTGGTTCAGTCCAAACTGAAGAATGTCAAGTATGATGGAGGAGCTGAGACAGATCCACATTGGAGTCCAGAGAGCAGGAAGATGATTGAGTCTCTGGGAAAACTGGCTTTTGAGCAGCTGCAGAAAGGCAACCTGATCTTCTATGAATCAGACCTGACAGAGTGTGGCATCGATATCAGAGCAGCCTCAGTGTACTCAGGAGTGTTCACACAGATCTTTAAAGAGGAGAGTGGGCTGTACCAGTACAAGGTGTTCTGCTTCGTCCATCTGAGCGTTCAGGAATTTCTGGCTGCTCTTCATGTCCATCTGACATTCATCACCTCTGGTGTCAATCTGCTGGCAGAAGAACAATCAACCTCCTGGTGGTCTAAAGTCTTCAGAGACAAACCTAAAGTAAGACAGTTCTACCAGAGTGCGGTGGACAAGGCCTTACAGAGTCCAAATGGATACCTAGACTTGTTCCTCCGCTTCCTCCTGGGACTTTCACTGCAGACTAATCAGAATCTACTACGAGGCCTGCTGACACAGACAGGAAGTGGCTCAAAAACCAATCAGGTGATGGTTGAGTACATCAAGATGAAGATTAAAATGACTCCCTCTGCAGAAAAATGCATCAATCTGTTCCACTGTATGAACGAACTGAAGGATTGTTCTCTAGTGGAGCAGATTCAACAGTCCCTGAGTTCAGGAAGTCTTTCCACAGATAAACTCTCTCCTGCTCAGTGGTCAGCTCTGGTCTTCATCTTACTGTCATCAGAGAAAGATCTGGATATGTTTGACCTGAAGAAATACTCTGCTTCAGAGGAGGCTCTTCTGAGGCTGCTGCCAGTGGTCAAAGCCTCCAAGAAAGCTCTGTAAGTGGCATTTCTTTGTCAATAAATACTCTTCTATCTTTCAACTGGAGAAAGAAAGAAATTTGTTGTTTCTTGTTTCCTTCCTGTTGTCTCTCCAGACTGAGCAGCTGTAACTTCTCAGAGAGAAGCTGTGAAGCTCTGTCCTCAGTTCTCAGCTTCCAGTCCTCTAGTCTGAGAGAGCTGGACCTGAGTAACAATGACCTGCAGGATTCAGGAGTGAAGCTGCTGTGTGCTGGACTAGATAGTCCACACTGTACACTGGAAACCCTGAGGTCAGGATTCATTGACCCACTGAGTTGATGACCATTTAAAATCTGATTTAGAGTGGTGGATACAACTAGCCAGTGTAGGAATGTGACCTTAAACTAAATCTCAACAGTAGTTTCAAGACTCAGAAAATTATTTTACATTAACGTTAATGTTTAATGATTTTCTCTTGTTCATTATTTTGTTGTTGAATGATTAAATATAACAATTTATTCTAATTTTGTTTCTAAATTTGTATCTGAACTAAAAAGTACTTGAAGTAAGAAACTAACAAACAAAAAACTTTCCGCCTCATGGGTTCCTCTGTGTGTGTTGGTTTGTGTGTTTGCAGGCTGTCAGGCTGTCTGATCACAGAGGAAGGCTGTGCTTCTCTGGCCTTAGCTCTGAGCTCCAACCCCTCCCATCTGAGAGAGCTGGACCTGAGCTACAATCATCCAGGAGACTCAGGAGTGAAGCTGCTGTCTGCTGGACTGGAGGATCCACACTGGGGACTGGACACTCTCAGGTATGAAGAGGCCTGCTGCAGCCACAGGCAGTCAGTCTGATTTAGGAGGTCTTTTTAGGTCAATGGTGGATATAAGTGTTTTATGAATAGTCAGAAATGTAGGACGCCTTTTGCCTTTGCTCAGAATGGAATCCATGGTTGAACATAAAATGGAGATCTTTGTGTAGGAGTTCTTCAAGGAGAACATCTCCAGGGACAATATGGAACATTAAACATTACAACATTGCAACATTAAAATAATTGTCTGTTGGTATTAATTGATTTAATTTAATTTAACCCATCAACCAGATAAGACCGGTTGAAATGAGGGATCTCTTTTACAATGGTGATCTAGTCAAGATAGCAGCATAAAATGGTTACAGACAAGAACAATACCACAAGAAACACAAGATCTACATAGAGACACATCAAATCATTATGGTAACTTTAAAATTAGAAAAGCCAAAGAATTTACTTACTTTGCACATTGACAACTACCAGCTGCACCATTCATCATCGTTTGTAGAATTGCTTGAACATTAAACATAGACCAATTCTCTTAGTTTCAAGATTGTTTGGAGGATGTTCCAAGTGAGTGGCGATATCTTAAGTGATAGCTACAGATTTTCGCTCAGTTAGGGTGGAAATATAAGATGGTAGTTTACCCAGAATGGCTTTTTATAAATGAACCAATTACCAATGTTTAAGTCTCCCAGAGATCAGGGATTGCCAACCAACTCTAAAATAAAGTGTGCAATGATGAGTGAGAGATTTACAGTTTGCAATAAATCTCTTGTAACTTGTGCAAACTCTATATATAAACTTTATTATTTTTTTACCCGTGGTTGAAAAGAAAGGGATTCATCAAGCCAAATTCCACTAAATTTATAACAAGAGACAACTTATAACTTATTTCCCTGAACAAATGTTAACAGGTTTCTTTATAGATTTGAACAGTGGTGGCTCCTGCCAAATCTCTCGGGGGGGGGGTATTGTTGCAATGATGGCTAAGGTGATCATGGTGTAAGTCAGGTATAAGACAAGGATTGTTCCTTAGTCTACATACTGTACAGTATTGGTGAACAACTACATCCTGAAGTTCCGGGCCTTAGGGTGTAAAGGCAACTACTTAAGTGTCAATGAAAAAATGACTTAATCTGATTCAGCTGTCACATTCATTTTTATCAGGTATAACAAATCCAGAATAAAGGGCAGTAGCTAATCTTAATTGTATAATTGGGGTACAGAAGAGCCTAGTATTAATTTTTCATTCTTTACAGACTAAGGTAAGCAGAGAGTTGTAAAACAAGAAGGCATGTAAAGGTACTGTTGTGAATTATTTTGCAGCATTATAGCCTAAATTGTTATCATTTATTACTAGAGCAATGGTGGTCTACATTGTCATCATTTAAAGTGTTATTTTATAGTGTAAAGTTAGGATCACAGTGTTAAAACTCTACAGCTCTGAGTGTGTGTGCTGCTTTCTGTATCTAACTGCCCAGGCACATGTGTGTGTGTGTGTGAGCAAGTTCGTGTGCTTTGGGAGAAAAGGGAGGGAGCACAGTGAGATATCATCAAAAATACCTGCAAAGTAAAATATAGAAGCAGATTTTGTGCAAATTGTATAACAAAACATACATCAATATAGTCCATTACAGTAAGAATGTCCTGTTTCTAGCACAGAGCACAAACAACACCAGTTTATTCCACAAAAGTCAGGTTATGGAAGAAATGGCATGATCAAAAGGAGGTGAAAGTCAGTCGTTACATGGTTTTCATGTCGACTCGGGTCTCTGTTCTGGTAACAGGATGGGGCTCTATTTTGCACCGATCTCTGACACACTCCGGTGGAACTTTTGTATTCTAATTGGTGTCTGTTTTTGTTGATAATAAAAATGTTGGTAAAAGTTCAAGCTTTCTTATCTGGCCCAAGTCTTGGATTTTTACACGACATTACTTGGCGAGCCAGCCAGGAGAGTTGAACCGGGGCAGGATGACCTTGACCAAGGACGGACAACCTGTATCTCAGAGACACATACGCGTACTTAGAAAGGTAAGCAGAAAACCTTTTTCTAAAATTTCTGCATAATAGTGTGTCTGAGTACAGGATTCTCCGCCCAGGTGAAGTTTCTGAAAGCTTCCTCACTCTAGAACCTAGTTAAAGTACAAAAAATTAAGGAAAATTATTAAAAATGTAACTGAATTCACTAAAAATGAACTACATTCATTAAAAAAGACAAAGCAGATACAGATTGAGAACCGCTGATGTGTCAGAGATGGGTGCAAATCTAAATGCAGGCAAAAAAGCAGTGTGTCAAAGTGTGTGCAAAGCTGGTAGATTAGAAAGGCTTTTATGTTTAATTGTTGGCTTTTAAGTGTAAATAAGTATGTAAATAAGATTTGTAAATAAGATAAGAGTTTTCCAGCCATTATCGTAAATACCGCTGTTTTTAAGAATCGCAGTGCTTCGACTGAGTGTCGGGGAGCTTCGATCCAATCAGAACAGGACTGCATAGACGAAGTGAGCTGATGAAGAGATAAGAATTTAAGCGCTTGCCGATACCGCGGATTTGGAGATTGCAGAATCACAGCTGAGTGCTGGGGTGCTTCACTCACTAGGTCTGGGCTGAAATGGGCAAGTTGGCTAATAAAATAGTCATCACGTGGCTACCGCGGACTTATATCGCAGGATTTCAACTGAGTGTTGGGGCAGTTCGATGGTAGGTTCGGACTGAACGGGCGGATGTACTATAGCACGTTACCGCTAGGAGCCTAAATAGGACTGCGGCAGGGTAGGAGAATAAAGCGTGCTTAAAGAAGTATTACGCTCTCATGTTGAGGAAGTGGATTGAGTAGCGATTTATAAAGACAGATTTTGTGTTGAGGAAGTGTATCATTTCTGTCTAAGCCCTCATGTTGAGGAAGTGGATTGAGAGGCTATATTATGTGTAAATTGGGCCTGTGTTGAGGAAGTGCATCAGACCCACCAATTTGGAATTAAACCTAGGCAGTGTAAATGAAGTCTGTGTTGAGGAAGTGCATCAGGCTAGTTAATTTGAAAATAAAACCTAGGCAGTGTAAATTAAGTCTGTGTTGAGGAAGTGCATCAGACAAGTCCATTTGAAAGCCTAGGTAATGTATATTAAGTCAGAAGCCGGCAGGAGATAGGAGTCAGAGATGTACGTGCATGTAAATATTGCTGAAAATATAGTTGATAGCTGTGTGTTAAGAAAAAGTGCATATAAATGTTACCAAGGCCTAAAATAATAATACTAATAGTTTGAGTCTTGAAGCCTCATGTTTAAGACCATTAGATAAAAAGTATAAAATAATGACAGTTGAATAACTGATCTAATATTAAACTAACATAAAGCTTAAGGATAACAGATGAATAGAGTTGATATGGTGATATAAATAAGTATAAGAAGTTGATGGAAGGAGTTATAAAGTAATAGATATATGAATATATATTGATGAAATACTGAATGTGGACAAGTATAGTGTAAAAGACGGCAGTCTCAGATTGAATTGTGATAAAGCTATGTGCAAAATAAAGTTCTGAAGTGGCAGTCCACGCCCGAATAATGGAGACTGGAAGAGAAAAGAGAAAAAAAGGAGTTTGCTCACGCTAGCAGAGAGGAACAGAGCAGGAGCTGAGCTGCAGCTGTGTGAGTGTGAGTGTGAGTGTGTCCATGTGGGGGAGGACAGCAGGCAGAGAGAGAGAAAAAGAGAGCAGTTCAGCCCTAAACCAAAAGTTATATGAGAGTTTTGTGATCTGTTGCACCTTTATAGGATAACAACAGCACGTTATAGCAAGTTACTCATGAGTTAATAATAACAGAAGTTATAAAAGTTTTTTGAACCAATAACAGCTTGACAGTGAGCAGATTAGTAAAAGAACGGCAATGACTGCTGGATACAGAAAAGAAAAGTGCAGTTGAAACAGCCTACTGAAGTATTATGATAATAAAGGAAAATTAGTTCAGAATAACAGGCTGAAGACACTTTTTGGTCGAGGAGAAGGAACAAACTAGAAAAATTATGACATCTGATAAAGTTTGCCTATTTATTGGAACATAGAAGTACAGATTGATAAGCAGCAATGTGAGGTATTATCTATGAAGGATTTAAGTTAGAGAAGGGATTGAGAGCCATCAATTTTGTATTAGATGTGAGAAAATCAATTTGATATTTTAATAGTTGTTAGTTTCACTGAAGTTAGTTATTTTTAGTAAACTCTGCTTTGATGATTTTTCAGTTGAATAGCTCTTTGATATAAAAACAAGGGGAGCTGCCTGAGTTTCTTTCAATGAATTGTTTCATTCTAGTTTCTTGGTTGTGTGGCTTTACAATTAAATGTCTTTTTCCTTTTCGAGGCATGAAGGCCGTCCAAATTCCAAAGTTTCCAGAGAGTAAGTGTTTGCTCGCAGTGAGTGTGCGATGGCTGTCCTGGGAGGCACACAGCAGGTGAAATTAAAGGGTAAAAAGCAGAAAAAAGAAATATTAACTGCAAAGGTGGTCAAAGGAGGGAGCTGTGGCAGCAACATATGTGGTAACAGCACAACTAAGTAGTTAAAGATAAAATAAAAGACGTCAGATAAGAGATAGAGAAAGCTCAGAATGAAGGTAAAATAGGGAGAAACAGTTTGACCAACAGGTAGATAATATTGACATACTATATAGCCTTTAGTGAAGGAAAAGTAGTCACTGAGACAGAATAATGAAAGAGCCCATCCTGTTAGATAAGGTCTAAATAGATATACCCCCAGATGAAGAAACGTATACAGCAAGTGGAAGAAAGATATAAGTAAGTGCAGTCAAGGGCCAGTACAGGCAGAAGAAGAAGAAAAAAGAATTAGGGTCTTTAAAGGGTTGAGTTCAGATATCAATGTTTGGTTACGGTCTCCTGCTGACGTATTGCGGTAAGCGTGTCGACTCATTTCCGCTTCCGGTGCTTGTGTGTTGGTACCGTGTTGTTGCTCTCGCTAAATAACAGTTACATTTGTTTGATTACAGCGGCC